AACTTTCGGAAAATGTTGAGAAATATTGATGTTAACGAAATTGATTAGCAACTGCAATTCATATTTAAAAAAAAGGGAAAAAAAGAGTCACCAAATTTGTTAGTTTTTCCAATGGAGTTAATGAGGACAATAAGATTAATGTGGATCAATCAATTAAACCTGTAATTATAAATAGATATGCCGCTTTAATGTAAAATTGGGTTATGGAGCAACCATAGCTACTTTAGTATTTTTCACAGACATAGGCAATGAACAGAAAATAGTAAATCAAAAATAGAATTTGGTCAAAATGACATCCACAAATTGTTTTAGAAAACTCTAAACATATCAAACAAATAATTCCAGAGATCAACGCACAATTTTTTTTTTAATAGTTTAAAAGAAATAATGGTAATTCCCCGAACCATTCGATGAATAACTAATAGTTCTTTTTTGAAGAAGGAATAACCAGTAGTTGATTTCGCCAATTCAAGATGTTGACTACCATTTGAAGGATGCACATAATTGGCAACTACACTTGGCATATTGGCCAACACAAAATGTCGGACTGTTATAGTTCTTAAAGCAGCTTACATTGCATTCTTTTTCCTTCCCTTTGCTTGATTTTGTCTTCTTTTCTAACGAATATTACGTTCACCTTTAGTTCTCCATCCAACAGTACTCCATCAGAAGTTGTCTTGTCAGTACTAATTTTGAAGTATATTGGTCCAACTTCAGCAGCGACATTATCCATCAAATTCTTGAAACCATTTTTGACCAAATCTCGTGCAGTTTTGTTCCTTTCACTTGCTGATATTAGCTCCAAGAAGTTTTTAGTCATTTGTGCTGACCAAAACGAACCTCCCAAATTTCCTGCATCTTTAACAAATGTCGAAGCAATCTTGATGCTATCGTTTTGGTTGTATTATTTGGTTCACCTTTTGTTTATGTAATAATTTGGAATACAATCAACACTGTTAGCATTCATGATTCATAAACAGTGACAACACAACATACCGACCTCTATGAAAAGCTTGCACGTGCAAGATATTTTTTGGTTTCCTTATTGAAAAATACTTTATGCTTGAAAATATCCTCATCGGATTGCCATAAATGGTAAACAACATCGTTGTTCATTGAATGCACACACTCCGTCTTGTATGAAACCCCAAATGAATTGAATCTCAAAGTAGTCATATGCCTCAATGGTGCAGACTTTCCTTGCATGCAATGATAATGGATCTCTATGCACCATCACATCTACACCACCTTGATTGCATCGAAAATCTTGTTAATTTTCATTACACCACGTCTATAAACAACCTATAAAAGTCACACAGAAGCAGTTTTTGTCAAACCCTCAGAAATGGATTTGCTAATTGTTTCGCTTCTCTGAGAAGATAATATTCCGCCTGAGAAAGTCTTTATTAAATGTTGGAAACCACTTCTCCCTACTCCTATACAACTTAACCATCCAGGGGTTATCTCTGCAATTATATAGGTTGCACAACCTACACTAAAACATGTAAACGTAAGTCTTCTAAAAAAATTCACGGTATAAATTTAAAATATTCATAGACATAATGTATGTTATTCATATGTCTTGACAGAAATGGTACACTATAATTTATACAATATTCATTCTATCAAATTATGATGTTCATATAAGCATTTAAATGTGTTGTTAAGTAGTAGGAGTATTTATTCAACACACATGAATGTATTGTTCATGGCTAAAATTATAAATATTTATATGGATTACTTACGTAATTGTGATTTGTGATTTTCAAATATTTTTATAGTAAGTTTAGTGAACGGTCAAAGCATATGTACTTAATGTTCATGACTAACAATTATTTGCACATGTGGATTTAAGTAACTTTTGGGCAAAAGTTCGTATCATATATGCATTTTGTTTATGTGACATAGGATGAAATTAAGAGAATGTTCATGTAATATGCATATTGTTTATGACTAAGAACATATATGTCTACGAAAATTTATATGAAAATACCCGTTCTAGTGCCATTCGAACTCTACCTCAGTGTATGTATACTTCAGCATAAGGTTGAGCAATTGAACAAAATCCTTCTTACTTCTTAATCCCATGATGTTATTTTTAGAATTCTCACTCATATGCAAAGTGCACAATCGATGCCTTGAATTTGGGAAAATTTCATGAATTGCACTAGCCATTGCAAAATTCTGATAAGTCATTACAGTTAACGGTTGCTTAAAATCCATAGACTCTTTAAATGTGTTGAGTAGCCATTCAAAAGTAACATTCTTCTCATTAGAGTAAAAATCCACAACCAAACATAATATTCATGTTATGCTTGTTCATTCTGACGAAAGACGTACAAATCATCTTGTACTTATTGTTACGATATGTTGTGCCGAAAATCAACAAATCTCCATATGCTGCATAATCTGGCTTCATGTGTCCATCCCTCCAAAAAAAAAAATGCAGGACAATCTTGAGCTCTCGTCCACGTTTCAATCATAATAGAAATCCTCGTCATTTTTCTTTTCTTGTGCCAAAATTTTCAGTAAAGAACTTGTGTCACAGCCTTCCCATTGGAATTTTTTTTATACTGAGGAACTTTGTTGTAAGCATCTCAATCAGTCCAACGAAGATTTTTCTCTTCACCTACTTGTTTTCTCAAGTAATTAATCGATGTGGCCAAAGGAACTCCACTTGCTTCCAAATCATGCAAATACTTGATGGTGTTGATTGTCATTGCCCTGTGAAAATGAAGATAGCGGACTTGCGATAGTGGGCATAGATCATGATTATGTGACATGTTTTTGCTCCTTTCATATGCCATTTTTATCCACATTGAACTATATAGACCGTACATTTGGTACGAAAGTCTACCTTAGAAAACAACTATATAGCTTTGTCTTTATTTTTCTTCTCTCCGGTTCTCTTGCAAGCCTATTGTTTCATTCGGATTATAAGAGTCTTGGCTCTATATTCCTGTCGTATTCTTCTAACATTAAAACCAACTAATTCTGCATAGCTATTGTACAATTTAAAAGCCTTATCATTTGAGCTTATTGTTTGCCCTATTAAGCTTACTCCTAGTCAGTTTAAATATGTAACTAATTTTAATTTTTGGGTATAATATGAAATAATTCATAATCTTGTTGTGACATGTTCATGTATATAAAGTCAAATTTTTAGTACGATATACAAATATAAGGTGCAATGTTCATACTATTATATTGTCGTATACATGAGATTAAACACAAAAATTCATCACTTGAAAGTATAAGTATATTATTCATAACGAGATAATTAAAAATTCATGATAGTACACTATATTGTTGTATTAAAATACAACTATGCATGACATCAAATTGCCCTTGTTCACATGAAATAAATGAAAAATTCATATCTTCAAAACATATAATTCATGAGCACTCTGAACGATATTCATATAGATTAGTGATTTTATAATTTTTTTTTTTTTAAAAAAAACGAAGCATTGCCAGACTCATGTTGAGGAAGTTCATCTTCACGAATGGATGTTAATTGAAGTTGTTGGGCCAATTCATCATCTTCAATGCATGTCAACTGAAGTTGTGTCAAACCATCATCATTGGCTCCATCGGTTTTCATGTTTGAATGAAGACTGCAATCCTAGTTGAGGCCGTAGTTAGTGTTATCTTTTGAGTGGTGGCATTGTTATGTCCTTGATAAACTTTTACATGATCATCATTCATGAGAACAATAGAGTCATCATAAATGATATCATCAAAAGGATTTTGATTTAAATCAAGATTCATCCTGTAATTCATAATGGACAGAAGAAAGATGCAAGCCCTTGCATCTAATTCTCAGTCTTTTTATTTTATTTTTTATTTTACAAATGAGCAGTTAAGTGAACCGCCAAATAGTGGTGATAAGATACGGGATTTCAGGTTTTGATTTTTTATACACGATCTAAATTGTGATAAGATACTCGTGAAAAATAAGGAGAGAAACATTAAATATATTAAAGGCGCGTGGTTAATTAGGATTGTAAACGAACCGAGCAGCTCGCGAGTTATTTGCAAACCGGATCGGTCAAAGCTTGGGTCAATTCGAGTTGATCTCGATCTAACTAAAAAAGTTTACTAACCAAGTTCGAGCCAACATTATATTTGCTCGATGGCTTATTGAGCGGCTCGAGTGTTATTTAAGTTTTTTTTTAATTTAATTTTTTATTTATTAATGCCTTTTACCAGGTTGACGTTAGTGGGCATCCACCTATCTTTACTTTTCTAATTTTCCAAGAAGGTTTTTTTTTTTTAATTTACATACGGAGGAGGTTGCAAAGCCTAAAGTTACAATACTCATCCAATATTTCCTAATACATCCTACCGAAACTCTATCACAAAATATGTTGATATTCCCATCTACCCTCAATATTAGCTTGAAGCCTTGAACCCATAAATCTACGATAAACCGTCTATTCAATATTAGACAAATGAGAGACCGTTCAAAACATCTGAAAATACTTCAAAATCACCTCAAACCAAGAAATTTTTTCTACCTTGCTTCTTCTCCTCATCTTCATGACTTTATCTCTCCTCTTTTTCTCGAACTGAAGCCACTATTCATGGGATTTACAACCTCAAATTTCTTTTAATATGGAAAATTTAAAACAACCCGTAGGTAAAACTCCAATTTTTTAAAGGGCTAGTTTTGAGAGAAAGAATCTCCCTCACATAATTGGAACTAATGAGCCCACAAATCATTCTCTTTTTTATCCCCATTTCCTTCTCAAATCCATAGCTTTAAGTCGAATTGATTTTCGAGCCGAACTCGAGCTCAGTACTATTTCATTTACTCGAGCTTTAACCGAAATTTTCAGACTCGATCGAGCTCGAGCCGAACTCGAGTTTGGTGTAATTAGGTCGAGTTCGAGTTCGAGCGGGGTAAACTCGAGCGCAATTCAGCTCGTTTACACCCCTAGTTAAATTAACAAATATAAAATTTAATCTCTTTTTTTAAGTGTGTGTCGCAACTTCTAAAATAAGTCTACTGTCTACTCTGAACCATGTTTAGGATATAACTTGCCTCTCATTACTTTTGTTTTGGATGAATCGGGTGTTAAAAAAAAACCCGGGTGGAACACCTGAATCAGAGTCTAGTCGGTTTGATGCCCGGGCGGAGTAGTCTCTAGACTCCAATCTTAGCCCGCCGATCGTTTATTCTACATATTCTCTGGAACGCTCTGCAGGGGAACTTTGAATTTATTTCCCAATCACAAGCTCCGGAATTCTCTCCTGTTTCTTTCTTCCAGATAATACTCAACAATGGCTGATATTGCCATCAAACCGGAAACTCCTTCTACATCGTCGCAGTTCAGTTCGTCGTCTCGAATAATCTGCCGCGTGTAAGCGTTTATTTATTTACTTTTGGATTCTTCGTTGAAATGTTGTTGTTGTATGCTACTTTCATCAAACAAAATCACTTGTTCATCAAGCTGCCTTGAGTTGTATTTTCAGATATGAAAACTCAATTGATTTTTGCTGTTATGCTGACAAATTTCGAGAATAAGTGTAGTAATTTTTTTGGGCTCTTGGTGCAGGTGTCAAAAGCAATTTTCTCAATACACTTGCCCACGATGCAATACGCGTTATTGTTCCCTTCCATGCTACAAGGTATCCGAAGGATTTTGTTTTTCAATTTGAACAGTTGTAATTACTTGAGCAAGATAGGCTTTGAGATTAATTTCCAGTTTTTGGCTTCGTTTCTCTGTTTTATCACATTTGTTTACACTCTATACAATTATATTCATACAATGATTTGTTCTGTTAGATTTCATGGTTTCTTGCTGTTGCTATGCGTGTCAAAATTGTTTAGATGATTTTATTCCAGAAATATTCCCGGACTTGTTTGTTGGTCCATTGGGTTTGTTATCTTTGTCTTTTTCCTTTCCTGGATTTAATGATCGTAAGAAGCAATTTGGCGTTGGAATGGGCACTGAGTTGGAGTATCTTGGAATAAAATACTTGATCTAGGGCTTCCAATGACTTCCGATGAACCTAGGTTTGCATTTGATACTTTCAGGATATAACATAGTGTTTATATTAGGTGTATTTCAACCGTATAGTTCTTGAGATGTCGTTCCAAAGGACATGTTTTTGTAGTCATGAAAGTATTCTGAATTTCATTTTCTGCAAGTTATTTTGGAAGAGTGATTGTCAAAGTCGCTGAGTTTTTAAAAACAAAATTGCACCTTATGGAATCTCTTATGTAGTTTTCAAAGATGTTTGAAAAGGTGCTATATTTAGGTGAAGTGATACTCATGCTCTTTAGCTGCTGGATTGAGGAACCTTTGGGTATGGAATATAGGTATTCTTAATTTGAATGTTTTAGCTGCGAGATAACATCTTTGTTGCAGTTGTATCTCTTGTCCTGTTATGCTCGTAAGTGACCTGAATTTCTGTGTCACTGCTAAATGATGTTTTATTGGAAGTAGGAAAAAAGTGTCATTTTTAGGCATTTTGTTGAGAGAAACAACTTCTTTACAGAAATGAAGTGTACAGCAGGATGCATTATGCCTGAACATCATCCAGAGATCCCCCCACATAGGAGATCTTCTAAGCACTGTGATGACCTGTATTCTGTTTGTGAATAGTGGCCTGAAACTTTTTACTATATTTGCGAACCGGAGATGAGAATGTGAGAAGCTGTTATGGGAATGATGAGATTGATGTGTCTGCACATTATTATAGCCAGGATTAGAAATGATTGCATTAAAAGGAAAGTGGCATTAGTACCACTGGATAAGAAAATGATCGCGCTTAAGATGTTTGAGAATGTGCCGTAGACCTATGGATGCCCTAGATAAACTAGTATAATTATAGTTGGCATTTACTAAAAGAGAAGAGGTAGATCTAAAAATGCATGGAAGGAAGACATTAAAATTGTAATGTTTTAGGTAAATTAAAATGAGATTATGCATGTTGACTGAGCACGGCGGCAACAATTGATCCATATAGCCGGCCCAACATGGTTATTATAGAGGCTTGTTGTTGTTTTGTTGTTTTTGTTGTTGTTGTTGTTGGTCTTTACATTTGCTTTTCTTTTTTTGGCAGTCTCATAGTCTCAGATGCACAGAGTCATTTATGAAGGATAATGTCATGGAGGAATTGAAGCAGATGCAATCTGATGATGAAAGCAAACGGAAAATGATTGATATACTTAAGCGAGTTCATGAAGAAGAGGAGGGAGATGTCATGGATGATCATGGTATTTTCTGCATTATGGTTCTTTGTTAATAAAAAAAGCTACTTTCTTGGAGGTGTGTCTAAATTAGTAAATCTGCATTTACTGGCTGATTGCTGTGATAAACTTTGATGGTTCAATTTTATTAGTAGCATTGTGTGTATATTAGTTTCTTCGTTATAGAAGCAAGCTTTGCACGGTGTAGGCAAATTGCAGTTCCTAAAAAGAAAAGGGAGATACATTTGCGTTCTTAATGTATGAAGTTCAAGCGTGGTTGGTGAAGTAACTGATTATTTAAATTAAATTGGAAATTTGTATATGTTCGGATTTGGTAGTATGAAGTGAAACATCCTAGTTTTAATGGTACAGGATTTGATTGTTTGATTCTGATTTTCTATTTTGTTTTTGCACTCCATGATAATGTTTAGAATACGAAAGTTCTTTTGTTATTCACTGTAATAATCTGGGCTTTTAATGTTATGTCCACCATGACTTCTTCTCATGCACAATTGCAATTTGCAATTCGCAATTGCATTTTCATTCAGCCCGCTAATTATATGCATAATGTTTGAATTTGGTCAGATTCAGAACCAGAGTCGGATTCATTATTGTCAGAAGAGACTATTGAAATGATTCTTTCAGGTGAATTACTTATCAGTGATTCAGTTATATGTGTATGGATACATGCCTATCTTACTTCTTTCAGCTACTGCTATATATTTAGGGAACAAATTCTGCTGTTTCTAGCTGATTTAGAATGTTTATTCCGTGTGTAGGAAGCCAAATAGATCTCAATGATCTCTCAGTTGAGGAACAAAAGCATTTTCAAAGAGCTATAGCCTCAGGAGAGCTGAGCAAATTGATTAAACCGTGGGAACCTTGGTGGCTGAGGCCTTCCGCTAAAAGTATTTGTCTTTCCAATGATGGTAGCCAACTTGTTCAACCACTTGGTAGCAATGAACTGGCTACACTGCAGCACGACATGGACAGGGATCAGGTCAATGACATCCCATCAGGCCCTGAAGCTTCTTTACCTCCTTTGAAAAAGCTTAGTGCTGCTGCACCTTCCCCGCTACTACCAGTTCACCTCGTAGACATCTTATACAGTTATTGTTTTACTCTTCGCTCATATAATGGGGACTGGTTATCCGATAGTATAGGATCAGCTCAAGTCGTGTTAAGTATTTCTTCTGTTTTGGGTCAAGGTGGACAGCCAGAAACAGTGTTGGAAGCTCTGTCATATTGTCTAGAGCAGACCTGCTCTCCTGCCTTCCGACACATGGGTGGTTCCAAATTTGCATTTGCCCTCATGGATGATGTGATCAATGTACTTTACCTTGGCAGAGCAGCTTTGATCTGCTTACTTTCTGATCTACAGAGACTCATCCAAACAGCTGAAAAAGAGCTCAAGTCTGAGAAATCTGCAAAATCTAAAAGGGTGGAGGTTAAGACGAAACTGAAGCTGGCTGCGCGGAAAGTGTACTTTCTCATCTGTTGGGTCAATGAGCAACCTGAGGAAGCATGGTCTTCTTTAGCCGCGCTTGTGGCAGCCCAAAAGAGTTCTGCTGAGGCATATATCAGCAGTGGAAGAGTAAATTTAAGGCAGGAGGCCAAATCAGTAGGCAAGCCAATTATTAGGGAAATCCAGTGAGCTGATCAAATCAAACTTGCTAAGTCTTGCTCTCCTCTTTTGCACTTTAATCTCTCATTTTGTAGTGTGATTTTTTAATTTTTATTTTCTGGTAATGCAAACTTCAAACTCTATTAGAAAAGTACTCCTGAACTGCATTAGCAACTAACTAGTAACTTGAAAACAGTAATATAATTTTTTGTCTCAACTTTTCTTCGTCGTGTAACAATACCTATTATTTTCTTATGTAAAAGATGTAATAAATTTTGAAAGACTGCAATTCTGGGTTTGGCGAGAGATGAGCTGAATGAACGTTAAATTGTTCGATGTGCAGCCCAGTCAGTTTTTACTGTTGTAAACGAATGCGGGTAACACATTTGTATTATTAATGGAGGATCAGTAACGTTAAATTGTTTTTCCACCTCCTTGATATCTCGATCGAAGTGTTTGCAACTAGATAATATAGAAATACAGGGTGAGCTTGCGTATACTGTATCAGCCCTTCAATTGGCTACATTTGATGGATATGTGTATCAGTTTTTTTTTTTAATATATAAATTATAAAATGTGCATTTTCCACTGGAAGCTGGCTGAAAATCTCAAATCCAGATGATAAAATGTCCTTTTTTCATCTCAATTGAAATGTCATACACCAAAACATTTTTTTCGATTAAAAAAAATTCCATTTCAGGAAAAGGAAACGGGAAGAAAAATTCAGATAATTTCAGAAAAGTGTGACTGAAAACACACAACCAAAACTAATAGCCCCTTGAGATCCATAATTCAATATATTTACAAAAGAAATCGAAAGAAAATGTCGGAACACACAGAAATGCTGAATAAAAAAAGTTTAAAAAAAAAAAAAAAAGCAACTCCCCCGGTAGGATACTGCAATGTTCATTTACCATTACAGGGTCCCATTGTTCATTTACCATTACACCATTACAAAAAAAAAAAAAGATATAATTTTAAAATAAATCTTTTCATGCCACACAAATTTTTCTTTAATCCAACCATAAGGTCGAAATTTGACTTTCTGCCAGATTACAAATCAACCCTTCATATCGTTCTTGTCCCGTGAAAATATGATAATTTCTGTAAAATTTAGTTTCGATCTGTCCTCAAAAAAAAAAAAAATAATAAAAATAAAAATTTGCATATGGAAAAAAATAGAGTAAACTTTGTAATAAGAATGATTTGTTATTATTACTGTTGTTGTTGTTGTTGTTGTTGTTATGTTTGGTACAACAGAGCTGCTCCTTCAAAACTACATTTGAAAATGTTGAGAGAGAGAGAGAATTTGGAAAGGTGAAAAACACACTCATTTGAAAATGATCCAAGCAAAGCCTTTTCAAATTGCCGGAGACTCTCTTGCGGTAATTTTGGTGGCCAGAGGGATTGGAATGGTTCAGCCTTATCCTTGCCGATCATAGATGATATCAAGCAGCTTTTATTTTGTTTTCCAAATCTTAATTTTTATTGAGTTAGTTGAATGGAGAATTTCGTTTCTCATGACATCACTCACTATGCGAAATTTCATAAAGTGAGGGATACCTTTGGCTTCGCTACCGAATTGGTTGTCACTCGCTGCTGGCTGATTCCATCTTTATTATATAAGTTGATGTTTCTAAAAAAAAAAAAAAATCTAGTCATATTTTATTTGGTACTTTCCCCATTTTTTTAATTGGTAGCAGCACTTTCTTATTGCCAAAGATAAACCTTCATTCAATGGGCAAACTTCTTGTTGCCAAAGAAAGCTTTCCTACCTTGTCAAAAGTCAGAAACTAGATATAAATGCAGAATTAACCAATGAATTTATTAATTATTTCTGCCTTTTTTTCCCAAAGGTAAGTGTAAATTGAATTTTGTCGGTTGACAATGATTGATACTAATCTTGTGGATCAATGGGCAAACTTGTTGATCCAAAAGTCTACAATATTGTCATAAATAATTATTTCAGATTTGATATGAAACTTCTTGTTGACATAATAAAAGAGGCAAAGTCTCGATGCTTAAATTAGTACTCCGGAAAAGTTTACGTTAAGTTTTGAAACGTTGAGTCTTTTAGATTATTTTTCTGAAATGATGTGTATAATAATGACGTGTTCCAGCAATTGTTCAACTTCAAGCGATGAATCGTCTAAAATCAAACTACGATAAGTCTCTTGAATAAGTAACATGTTAAAATGTCATAAAATTCATCGTGAGTTTATCCATCTCTGGTGAGATTCCCGACGTTATCAAAAAAAAAAGAAAGAAAGAAAGAAAACATTATGTATTGCATGAATTACGTGTGATATTATACTATTTTCATCCTAAAAAAGAGTTCAATTTTAGAAACATAAACCTTAACATTAGAGTTATGAGATCATTATAACTTAAAATTGATTAATGCATTGATAAATAGTTATGAAAGTTTATTTGATTTTTCATAATAATATTTTAATTTACAAGATTAAGTTATATAAATTTTTTTTTAATTTTATTTTAGTCTTTCACATTGGACTTTTTTTGAGACGGAGGGAGTATATACTTAATTTTGAAATTTTAACATTATATTTCTTACGTGAATAGAATATTATAGATCACGAAATATTCTTAACTAGTTAGATAGTAATCACATCTCGATAAATAATTCACAATAAGATATTCAATTTTATAATTTTTAATTTGGATTTAACTTTGAAATTCAAAATTTTAGAAAATGAACTGTAGATGTATATTCTTCAAGCTAATTGAAAGATAATTAAAAATATTTCTTAAAATTTCGTATTGAATATATATTACATAAAATCAATTTAATAAAACTGAATATCGTGGTAATGGATTTTACGTTGTTTTCACTAAATTTTTCTTTTTTGGTATTTATTTTTTAGAATAAAATTATAGACAAACTGATTTATAACCTTCCATTTTTGGTAGTGTTAATATATATTTACATCTTTTTAACAAAAATTTATAATTTAAATAGTGTTAATTAATTTTTTCTTTTTTTTTCTGGTAAAGAAACTTAAAAAGAAAAAAAAAAGAAAATAGAAAAATATGTAGTCGGCCTCGTTCTAATCCCTTCCTCAGCTTCCTTCGTTCGGTGGGTTTCTTTGGCAACAAGAACTTCTCAAAATACATAATTGAAAAATTCACAAGAAAGAAGAATAAAATATTGCAAACAAATCCCCCAACTTCAAAATATAATATAATACCCCTCGCACTATAAATATACGGCTTCCCCCATAACCAAACAAAGTGTGCGCTACTGAAACTAATTTCCATAGAGATTACTGAGAAGTGTGTAGAGAAGAGAGAGAACGCGGCTCACGGCTACGCGTGGTTTGCGTGAAATCTTTTTTCCCCCTTTGGAATTTGTTTTGATTTTTAGGAAAATTTGTTCATAATTAGTTTCTCCATTTTCGCCTCAATCCAATCCCTCTTTCGTTGAATCTTTCCCCCTTTTCAATTTTGAGAAAAAAAAACCCAAAAAAACAGAGGATTTTTTCTGTTAGGTTTAGGGTTTTTGTTGATAATTTGTGCAGAAAATCTGGTTCTATAGTATAGTAATCGCGGAAACGAAGAATCAAAGAATTAAGGGGTTCTTATCGCGGCTTACAGGAACGCTTTTGTTACTGCGAGTATGGAGTCTGCTATAGTGATCAAGGTGCGTTCTTCTCTTTCAAGTTTTTAATTTTATGAGTTTCTTGTATGGGAATTGAGTGTTGGTTTTGGTATTTTCTTTGATTTACTGGCCTGAATTTGTATGTGTTGGTGGTTTGTTTTTGTTTGATGTTTTTGGGTTTTACTCTGTTTTAATTTATTTTTTTGTTCATAAAATTGTTAGGGCTTTTGTTTATCGGTGCTCTATATGCTGGCCGTTTCTGTTTCTATTTCATATTTGACTAAATTATGGCTTTGATTGTGGTTGATCGTGTATAATTGTGGTTGATCGTGTATGATGAACTGAAATTAGTGAAAAGCCGGTTCTTTTGTTTCAGGTATTAGGTCTAAGACAAATAGAGTATTAATCGTATCTTCTTGACTGGTTTGTCATTGAATTTACTATACCCTAAATGTGTATTTAGGGTTTTGGATCTTGATCCTGTAGGAAATAATATTTTGTCCTGTGGATAAGGGACATGTATATATTTTGTCAAGCAGATAAGGACATGTATAGCAGGGTGGTCACTGATTTGTATGTTCGACTGGCCTGGGAAGTTGTGTTGTTCCTGTGACGATGATTTATAAAAAAATGCGCGAATTTAAGAAAAATTTGTGTTTATCTTGATGTCATGGTTTGAGCTGTTGATGTGCACTTTGTTGAGACGCTCTGCTTACGAGGAGTCTGCTCTTTGACCATGTTTGAAGTTTTTCCAAATTTTTCTTCCACCTGTTTCTTATATTTTCTGCAATTATCTGTCTTCAGGTCAAATATGAGGACACTCTCAGACGTTTCAACGCTCGTATACTTAATGGGGAGCTTGAGCTCAACTTGGACAATTTGAAAGCAAAGATACTTTCCCTTTTCAAGTTCAATCCTGATACTGAGCTTATACTTACGTATGTGGATGAGGACGATGACATAGTAACTCTCGGGGATAATGATGATCTGCGCGATGTTGTAAGGCAATCCCTGAATCCTCTGAGGATTACTGTGAAGCTGCCAGAAAAGAGTGGCTGGGCTGCTGCTAAGAGTAGTGGAACCAGTACCCCCGTGAGATCTCCTCAGCTATCTCAGAATCTCAACTCTGGTGTTCAAGAGATATTGAACTCTTTTCCAGAGCCAATCCGCCGGACTGTTACAAAGATTTGGACCGATGTGGGAGCCAATGGCACTCCCTCTGGTCAGACTATTGATGATCTTGTGCAGTTGTTTTCAGAGTTGGGGCTCCCATTTCTGAATAAGTTAGCAGAAGTTCAAGCTCCGGCTCAGGTTAGTAGGCCTGGATGTCAAGATGTCGCAGTCACAGAGGTTGAACAGACTGTATCTGACGTTAAAAGTACAGGATCTTCATCCTCGAAAGGCAAGGAGGCTATTCGTAGCCGTGAGTCCATAGCTGGAGAAGGGAAGAATGATAAGGAGAGTCCTGTAAATGTCAATGGTGGTGTGAAGGCTGCAGTCAAACAAGTTCCGGGATTGGAGGCTCTGAAGGCTGCCCTTGCTTCCACTAATACATCCCTTGGTGTTCAGACTGGACCAAGTGAGAAGATATCTTCTGGCAAGAGTGATGAGCCTCCTTGTAGTGGCAAGTTTGTGAACTTATCATCCTTCAAAGCTTCACCTGTTACTACTGACAACGAGGCATCTCAAAAGAAAAAAGAGTCAACTGGCTCAAGGCGTATCAATGCACATGCTTTCCCTTGTTACCCTGTTTCTCCATTGTGGTCAAATTTGAACTCTGAGTCAACCACACAAAATGGTGAGACAAAGGATTCAAATCAAACTGATTTGGGAGCAGCCTTATGCATAAACGAGTGTCCGTTCTCTGGGGTATCTTTAGGAAATGCTCCCGCTCATCCACAGCTTTCTTCCTCAGTTGGTCAGAAGGAAAGGAGGAGCAATTTGTATGGGGATGGATCAGGAATTGTTTTCCATCGAGGAGTTCGTTGTGACGGATGTGGTGTGCACCCAATTACTGGTCCTAGATTCAAGTCAAAAGTGTAAGCAATAACGATTTTCTCTTATTGTACATTAAAGAGTTGTGAACAAAGCAAAGTAAACAGTGTCTTTGGTTTTGTAGGAAAGAGGACTATGATCTTTGCAGCATTTGCTTCAACCAGATGGGGAACACTACTGATTACATTAGAATTGATCGGCCCATGACTTACCGACATTCCTATGTCAAAGGGCTCCATGATTTGGTATGTTGCTCATTGTTACTTCCTTTTATCTATTTGTGTCGTTCTACTAAGAGAGCTTTGGTGGAGTGGGCACTACTATTGCCCTGTGCCAGACTCTTGGCTTTGGCTGTCCTTTTGTCTTCATTTGTTTATGGATATTATTCTGTTTGTTGGTCCTCTCTGACTAATATCTATTGATGATTTCAGCATCACCGAGGACTTCCGCATGCACGCCCTCCTCCACCAGCCTTTAGGTGTGGTGCTGTGAAATCTAGTCGGCCAAAGCTGGATAGTCGCTTCATTCAGGATGTAAACATTCTGGATGGCACTATCATGGCACCATTGACACCTTTCACTAAGATTTGGCGCATGAGAAACAATGGTTCCGTTGTATGGCCTCAAGGTGCACAGCTGGTTTGGATAGGAGGAGATAAGCTAAGTGATGCATTTTCTGTTGCCATTGAGGTTAGAACTTTCTTCATAAGTTCATGAAAGCAATTCCACCCCGCACTGTCGGCTTCAGATTTTTATGTTTATTTACTTATGTTGTTTATATTTTACTTGTCTGAAACTCTGCCAGATTCCCCCTTCTGGTTTGGCTGTGGATGAGGAGCTCGACGTAGCAGTTGATTTTATTGCTCCTGGACGCCCTGGTCGCTACATTTCATATTGGAGAATGGCTTCTCCATCTGGTCAGAAGTTCGGCCAGCGAGTTTGGGTTCTTATCCAGGTCAGTCCCCCCCTTTTTTTTTCACTATTATCATTTTCTTTTCCTTTTTTTGGGTTTTAATTCCAGTTTGGTTAGCCATTATATGTATTACTAAGTCATGACAATTGGACGTGTAGGTGGATGCTTCTTCAAAGGAAATGCCTTATGATGGCTTTCGTGGATTTAATCTGAATTTACCACCTGTTAGCAATAGCATTCATAGCCCTGAAATTATTAGTGTAAGCCCTGTGCCTATGGTGGAAGACACCTTGCCTGATGGTGAGAACTTGAATGAAGCTTCTGCTGTGCATTTGGTATCATCACGAGAGAAAGAACAGGAGGCTAACTTTCCCATCAATGACACATTGTTCGTCGGCGATATTGCCGGATTACGCCCAGTTCAAGGGGGACCTTCATCTTCAGTTTCTTATCCTAATATTGATCTGTCTGAGCTTGCTGATCCAGTGGTTCCTTCCCCTCCTGCATCTACTGTTACCTTGGTGCAGACTCAAGATGTCGAAGGAAAATCTGAGGTGGAGGAGACCCTCCTGAAAGATCTTGAGGAAATGGGGTTCAAACAGGTTGACTTGAACAAGGAGATTCTCAGGCTGAATGAATATGACTTGGAGAAATCTGTGGATGATCTTTGTGGCGTGTCTGGTTGGGATCCCATACTTGATGAGCTGCAGGAGATGGTAATTTCATCAACAAGTTTTTTTTCTATGTTTTCCATTCCACTGTTTGTAGTTGAATCTAATGTTGAATGTGTGCTTGTCCTTTCAGGGTTTTGTTGATAAGGCGACCAACACAAAATTGCTGCAGAAGAATAATGGAAGCATCAAGCGTGTTGTCATGGACCTTCTTGCTGGAGAGGAGTGAAGATGTCAAGATTGTCGTTTACCCCCTATATAAAATAGTGTGTGGAGTCTTTGGAGTTCTAAGATTTGTTAGTGACTTGGATGTTCAAGTCTTTTGTCTTTTACCTCTGTTGCTTGGTTGTTGAGACCAGCGTGACTTGTGGCTAGTTTCGAGTATTATACGAGTCGTTTTTAATCATGTGTTATTTATCCTGCAGTGTCTGCTGACTATGAATGTGTTCTATGAATGAAGAAAGTATTGCATGTACTCTATTATTTTCAATCCCAAAATGATTGCTTGGCCTGGACTTTTTACCCGGACAGAGGATATAAAAATGTTGAACGGTAGCATTTTGATGTCTGGTGTCTTATAATGCGACACAGGTTAATGCTTGAAAAAAGAAAGAAAAAGGAAAAAGAAAAGAGCTAGCAGCATTCGCCAGTATGTCATTATGTATGGATCCCTTTGTACCCTATGAGGATCAAGCGGCCAATGTTCATCCACGATACATCTTATCTGAATAATCTGTAAAAAAAAAAAGATAAAAAAATCTGCTTTGTATAAACATTGAAAAGACATTTAATTTATAAACCCTACTCATTTGGTGATAGAGAGCAGCCGCAAAAATATTTCAGATGATACTTCTACTACTGGAGAAAACATGATTCCTAGAGTTCCGGTTCAATTTCAACATCTAGTATGGATGCTTCCTTTATATACAGTCTGCATACTACCATTCTTTTAATCACAACATTGCTTCAATTGAATCAATTACTGAACAACATAAAACAATGATAACCACATTTTAAAACCAAAAACACATATTCTTATGACATTAAGAAAGAGCAACAGATACTCCAGTTGGCCTGAACCTAAACACCGCCAGCAATGATGACCCTGAAACAATTCCACCATATCAGTGAGGCACCCATTTATATGGACCTGTAAACAAAAAAAAAAAAAAAAAAAAAAAGAAGCAATATTCAATATATGTAATCCAAGAAGAAAAAGGAGATCTAAAATGTAATGCGAAAATCCAGAAAAAGAAAAATGTATTATCTACCTTTAACCATCATCCTCTTCCTCTCCATCCTCTTATAAACATCCCTCTTTCTAGTTTCATTGGACCCATAAGAAATTTTATAACTTGTTCCCTGCGCAGTAAACTGCAGAGGAAGAAGTTCATGGATTACATACATTGCATATTGCTTCTAGTGAAAATTTTGAACTAGGGATTAAACTGTCAGTAGACCTGCAGATTCTCCTAATTTAAAAATTCACTAAAACTGAGATTAAAACAGTCATATTCAGTATAGACAAGAAAGTGGAAGGCCTCATGAGTTTAGTAGTGGTTTCTATAAAACTACTTGGGAAATTGTTGGGGATGATGTTTGTAATGTCAAATAAGAGTTCTTTAAGGAGTGTAAATTGCTAAAACAGCTTAATGCCACTTTAATTTTCCTTATTCCTAAGAACTCCTCACCAAAAGATGCAACTGAATACAGGCTCATAACCTGTTGTAACGCAGTTTATAAAGGCATTTCAAAGCTGATTTGTAATAGACTCAGTTTAATTCTCCCTCAGTTAGTAGACCTAAACCAAGATGCTTTCACAAAGCACACATCTATTCTCCATAATATTCTGCTTACACATGAGTTAGTTAGACTGTATAACAGAAAAGTTGTGAAACCTTGTTGTCTGTTGAAAGTAGATTTATGACTCGATTCATTGGAATTTTATAGAGAGATGTTTGGATACTACCAATTCCCCCCTCCCCTCCTCCCCCCTCTCTTTTCATTAGATGAATTATGGAATGTGTCTCTTCATGTAGTTACTCGTTGAATATGAATGGAAATAGTACGGGATATTTCTAGAGGAGGAGAGGGTTAAGACAGGGAGACCCTATGTCGCCGTTGTTATTCGTTCTGGTTGTGGAGTATCTGAACATAATGTTCAAGAAGGAAGCCTTGGATGATTTTCAACTTCATCCATTCTATGAGAAGCAAAAAGTTACAAACCTTAGTTTTGCTGACGACCTGATTATAATGTGCCAAACTGATATGATGACTGTGGAAAAAATTAAAGGGATTCTTAATAGGTTTGCTCAAGTTACGGGATTGTCTGTTAATCTAAACGAATCGAATATCTACTTTGGAGGAGTGAATGAGGAATTGAAAGAGAGAACAAGGAACATCATGAGTTTTCAGATAGGAACTTTCCCTATTAGATACTTGGGTGCTCCTATTTCTCCTACGGGTTGGAACAAGGAAGATTGTCAAATAATAGCAGAGAAAATTACTTGCTAGGATTAGATGTTGGGAATTGAGACACCTGTTCTATGCAGGGAGGTTGGTACTTGTAAACTCTGTTATGTTAAATTTGCATACTTATTGGGCAGGAGTTTTCTTAATTCCTCAATCTGCCATTAAACTGATTGAAAGAAGATGTTGGGAGTTCTCTGGGGGAAGAAAGAAGAGGGAAGAAGCCTAGCCCTGGTAACTTGGGAGGAGCTTTGTAATAAGAAGACAGAATGAAGATTGAATACAAAGAGCCTGGGTGCTTGGAATAAAGCCTTGCTAGGGAAACAGATTTGGGATTTAGCAAAAAAGAAAAGAAAGCCTTTGGATTCATTGGATTCATATCTACTATCTAAAAGGGAAGAACCTGTGGGATTACTATTAAGATTAATGGGAGAGTAAAAATAATATTCCATATCTATCCAAATCAGGTAGTACAAATATATATGTATATGTATATATATATATATATATATATATATATATACATGAACAGACTTGAATTGACTAAACTACCCTTTACATGTATATAAATATATTCTAACACTCCCCCTCAAGTTGGAGCATATATATCATAAGTGCCCAACTTGTTACAAATATGATCAACTCGAGGTCCTCGTAACGACTTTGTGAAAATATCAGCTAATTGATCATTTGATCCAACAAAGAAAGTAACGATCTCTTTCCCCACAAGCTTTTCCCAAACGAAGTGGCAATCTATCTCAATATGCTTAGTTCGTTCGTTAAAAACCGGGTTAGAAGATGTATGTAAGGCTGCCTGGTTATCACATATAAGTCGCATAGGACCACATAAAGGTTCACCAATCTTCTTGTGCTCATACGCAACAAAATGGAGTAGCAGAGCGCGAGAATCGTCACCTAATTGAAACCGCTAGAATACTCTTGATTCATATGAATGTACCTTTTTATCTTTCCGGTGATGTTGTACTCATTGCTTGTTATTTAATAATCGTATACCGTCCTCAGTGTTGAATTTTAAGATTCCATATAGTGTTTTATTTTCTCATGGTACTCTATATTCTCTTTCACCTAGAGTTTTTGGGTGTGTTTGTTTTGTTTATCAATTAACTCCAGGAGTGGATAAATTAGGACCTCGTTCACTTAAGTGTGTTTTTGTCGGGTATTCACGCACTCAAAGGGGCTATCACTGCTATTCACCTACTTTACAAAAGTACTTTATTGCCGCTGACATTACATTCCATGAATCCATTCCATATTTTTCATCTCCTAATTCATCATCTATTGTTCCTGAACATTTACCTATATTCTTTTCATCTCCTAATACTCCTCCACAATATCCTACATCTGATACTATCTCTCGTCCACCTCCCTCTCCTCCCATCACATCACTTCCACACATCATTCATTCTCGCTTAGACCATTATTGACATATAGCCGTCGCCGCCCTATATCTCCAAGTCTTTTACCCATAGGAGATTCATCTAGTACTACACCTGCATCCCCTACTTCTCCATTGCTTCCTGCACTCTCTCATGTGTCAGGTTCATCTGTCTCCTCAGATCACTCTACCTTGCTAGGTACGTCCGATCTTAACCTTCTAATTGCTTTACGAAAAGGTCAACGTTCTTGTACTACTCGTCATCCAATTTAGAATTTTCTTACTTACTACCATTTATCACCACCATATGCTGCCTTTATCTCTTCCTTGTCCTCTGTTTCTATTCCCCGTTCTCTTCCGCACGCTCTTACTCATCCAGTTTGGTGAGCTGCTATGCTCGAGGAGATGAATTCTTTTTTCTCTAATCAGACTTGGGAGCTTGTTCCTCTTCCCCATGGTAAGTCTGTGGTTGGCTGCTGTTGGATCTTCACTATCAAGGTAACCCCTAATGGATCTATTGATCGCCTTAAGGACGCTTGGTTGCCAAACGCTTTACTCAAATTCCTGGCCTTCACTATGAAGACACTTTTTCACCTATGGCTAAAATCACTTCAATGGTGATCTTCAGGAAGAGGTTTATATGGAGCAACCTCCTGGCTTTGTTGCTCAGGGGGAGTGTGATCCTATGGTATGTCGGCTTCGGAAAGCTCTTTATGGTTTAAAACAATCTCTTAGAGCTTGGTTTGGGCGTTTCGATGACACAGTCATCAAATTTGGCCTCCATCGTTCAGTTAAAGACCATTCGGTCTTTTATCGAATCTCACCTACGGGTAAGAGAATCCTACTTGTTGTTTATGTTGATGATATCCTTATCACTGATGATGATTCTACAGGAATTGATTCTCTTAAAAAGTTCCTACAGTCTCAGTTCCAAACAAAAGACTTGGGAGCTTTGAAATATTTCTTGGACATTGAGGTTGCCCGTTCTGTTGAAGGGATATTTATCTTTCAAAGAAAATATGTTCTTGATATCTTGTGCGAAGCCGGGTTATAAGGATCACGCCCCATTAACACTCCCATGAATCCAGATGAGAAGTTGTTGCCATATGAGGGGGAGCCATTTCCAGATCCTAGCAGATATAGACGTATGGTTGGAAAACTTAACTATTTGACTATAACAAGACAAGACATTGCCTTTCTGGTGAGTGTTGTTAGTCAGTTTCTTGATTCTCCACAAGTCCCCCATTGGAATGCAGTAATTTGTATGTTCGCTATTTTAAGAATGCTCCAGGTAGGGGCATTTTATACCAAAATCATAAACATGGTGGGATAGTTAGTTTTTTTGATGCTGATTTGGCAAGCTTGCGCATTGGTAGGCGTTCCACATTACGTTACTGTGTCTTTCTTGGGGGAAATCTTGTCTCTTGGAAGAGTAAGAAACAGAGTGTGTTTGCTCGCTGAAGTGCAGAGACAAAATATCGCGCTATGGCACTTGCCACATGTGAATTGTTATGGTTGAAACATCTAATCATTGAGATTGGTGAACCTATATGTGGTCCTATGCGACTTATATGTGATAACCAGGCAACCTTACATATATCTTCTAACCTGGTTTTTCACGAACGAACTAAGCATATTGAGATAGTTTGCCACTTCGTTATGGAAAAGCTTGTGGGGAAAGAGATTGTTACT